AGGGCTAAAACCGGAATGAAGGCATATGAAGAGAGGGACAAATCCTGAGGAAATTAGCAGAGCATTACTAACTTCACTTCTGTCAAAGCTTCCCCTGAGCACTTCAATTAGAAAATGAAAACAGTGTCATACATAAAGACAAGCCTCGCAATATGCTTAGCATTATCCACTGCCAACAAAATCTGGAAGCTTCTCTCAAGACTTAAAAACCACCTTGTAGACAGACAGACTTTTCTATAGTTGTCTGTCTACATGCTTTTCTAAGCATGGAACACCTCTTAAAAAAAAAGAGATTTGACCTTTCAGATATAAAATAAATACCAGCTGAGCCTCTAACTCTGTTAAGAGTTTAAGGTGGAAGATTAAGAGTAAAATAAATCAGAAAGGAAGCTTTTAAATCTTTAACTGACTAATAAAAAACCCAACTAGCATGACTTCTTATCACATGTGGTAGATAAGAAGGAGAGATGAGGGTAGGATGTTAGACAGTAGACTGGGACCAGAAAACCAGTCTACTGCCATCTCCCTGCAACACTTAAAGGAGGCAGGAAACTATTTCAGTTTCTATATAGGGAGTGAGGACTTTGCCATTACCTTTCTCTCCCCAGGTAGAGAGTAAGGTTTGGCATCTTCTTGAGAGATACCATCTTCTGCGCTGCAACATGGACTCCTTCATGCTATAGCAGACTTCTCATGGGGAAAAGTGATTTAGCAAAGGCAAGGGATAAAATGGAGATGATTGGCAATGTTCTGACATGCAGTGAAACTCAATCCCTGCTCCTTTATCTTCACAGCCATCACCACACACCACAGCCCCCTTCTGCTCACTTAGTAGCCACACTTCCATGTGTCTGAACTGTCCCAGGCACAGACGGGATGCCTCAGCCATGAATGCTCCTGACATTGAAGTATACCCTCTTTGCATATCTCACAGCTGTTCCTCTTTCTACCCTTTGACTAGGCTCTCCTCTGCTTGTGGAAGTGGACTTCGAAAGAATTCGGCTGCTGATGCCAGTGGGGAACTCCCACGAAGGCAAGGAAGTTGCGTGCAACTTGTTAGTGGGGAAGGAACTTATGTGTTCTGACCAGAATGCCACATTAAAGTGATGTTAAGTGTGACGAAGCACAGACTTTCAAACTAAGGAACCCACCTTATCCTCTCCCACACAAATTCCTAAGGATGTCAACCCATTGACCATTATTTTCTGCTGCTGATTTTTTAAAAATCTCTAACATGAAATAATGCAATGATTACTTTAGTGTGTACATAGAGTATTCAAACAAAAAGAGACAGGAAAAGAATTACACAACTAAAGACAAATAATTAACTCAACTCCCTACAAACTTGCCTAAATTCCAGAATGCTTCAGACTACTGGTTAAGATAAATTATCCTTGGATTTTTTATGCAAATATACAGATGTGTAGCTTGTACGTGATGTTGATTCACCACATTTTATGTTTATTGTATTTGAGAGGTTAGTTTTCACTCCCATACGTATGCAGTGTTTTTGCAACAGCATTCATAATTTCATCTCCAAGGAACAAAGCTGGATTGACAACACTGAACAGAAGCTGTTGTGCAGCAAATATCCCTCCTATCAACCTGCTTATCTCTGGGGGAGGAAGAAAGCAAGCAAGCAGTAGAGTTTCCAGTACTTTGTTCCATTACCCACTGAAATTATAACACCAAGGAAATACATTTGCCACAAAGTTAGGTGCACACTCAGAAAAGTATTTGAGGTAATCAGGTCTGCTGCCCCGAGCTGCATTTATCTGAAAGAAAGAGAAGTGAGGCCCTGTGAAACCCCATGTTACCTTTTTCTCCTGAGCAGTGAGATTAGGGGTTCTCACTGGTGCATGGGGTATTCCTTTCCTCCGACCTCTGTTTTCAGGCAAAGGGTATAGAGGAAGGCCACGACAGATTTCCTTCAGGCTGGTCATAGCTGCTGAGGAAATAGGCGGAGGAAAGGCAAGGCAAACTGGAGAGGTACAAGGAACGGGGAACGAAGGGTGCAGGCAAGCAAGATGCTAAGCGATTCAGATGTACCACCACTCCGAGGTGATCTTGAAGAGGACAGCCTGTCCTCTGGCTTTTGCAAACAGGCCTGTCAAGCAGAGAGGGCAGGTAGCACAGGTGACACACCTCCCCCCACTGTGCCATGCTATTGGCTCTTCCCTCCTCCCCCAAAATGAATGATTCACAGTTTTGCTGTTTATTCTCTGGGTGCTTTGTCAGCTGGTGCTGTGCTAAGCCACTAGAGCAAACTCAGTCACTTTCCAAATCATCTGATTCCTCCAACGTCCTAGTGAGAGTCATGGTCTGGAGCATGATCCTTGCCTGAGACCTCAAGGATTGTGCATTTACATTTCTATGGCTTAGGAACTAACTGAAGTTAATAATTATTATTTACGTCACTGTTCACACACACACTGTTCAGCTAAGATGGGCATTCTCTGTTTGACACCTCTAGGTATGGGCTGTTCCTCAGATCTCATCAATTCAACTTCCAGACAACAGTTGTCAGTGATAAAAGTAAAATTTCCCCCTTAGGTGTTACCTCCTCTTAGCTCACAGGCATGAATGGATTTTAGTAGTATTAAACTGGAAATGTAGTCATTAGCATTGGTTTTCTCAAGACAGGCAATAATTGGGAAGAAGAATTAAGGCTTTCAGTTCTAAGTCACTTTTATACCCTACAGTCAACAACAACTAGAAAGTCTTATGGTACTGCCATCCAGACATCACAAGGAAATTAATATACTTAACTTTGATTTTCCACTTACAAAGTGCAACATGAACTTTGCTCTCCATTTTGAGTTGTTGTTTAAATTATACAAGGGCTTCTTGACCTTTATTACATCCATGGAACTACAACTCTTGGCCAGGGAATTTTCTGAAGTGCCACAGTTCAAGCCTGGTGAAATTAACTGGGAGAAACATTTCAGTTAGGAATGAGCCTAAAACCTGGGAATAAAAAAATACTGCATTTTCCCACAAAGGTGGCAATCAACAAGCGATGACAACAAAGCACAATTATTAAATGACAGCATCTCATTAATGTCACATTGGCTTTAGCTCTAGGACATACTGCACATCCCCAGCTCCCACTGAAGATGCTTGAGTTGAAAGAACTCAGAACATCCCAGGGGAGCTGAGCGCACAGCAGACTCAAACCCTCTGAAGGATACTAACTGTCATTTATGGCAGGAGAATTTTGTTTTGTAATTATACAGTATTGTAGCTGTTTTCAAACAAAAGGCAAAGACAAAAAGGAGAGGGAAAAGCCCCCTTCACATTTTTAAATTTTCTATTGGGTTTTCTTATTAAAAACATACAAAAAGGGAAGATAAGAGTGAAGTCAGAAAATTCTACCCCAAATCCTAGCTAAATAACCCTGTCTTACATAAACATTCCCACCCCAAAGGGAAATAATCTTTCCTTATTCTTCTTTGTATGACCCACATTCTCCAAATCCCTCTAAGGTCTGACCCTGTGCACACACGGGCACAAGAATAACCTCGTCTACATTTGGACTCCCATCGGACCTGCTTCCCTCTGTGACACCAAGCAGAAGTTAATGGCATTACACTGCCGTGAAAGCTGAAGAAAGACAGAATGAAGCTGGGGGGGGAACTCATTCCCCGAATTGAAATTATTTCTAGGGCTGGGCACTTTCATCCCCTGATCGCTACGTGCTGGAGCCTCTCTGGGTCCCGGGGAGCTTTGTGTTGGTGTTACCTGAGCAAATCCGACTTCAGGGACACGCCCGGTGTCGGCTGGGGCAGGCACGTGTGCCAGTGGTGCCAGAGCGGACACCCCAGCTTCTCCGGGAGGTCACAGGTCCCCTTGCCGTCCCCGCTCACGCCTGCGACCGTGGAAAGGAACCCGACGCATCCGCCCGTTTGTGCACCGCGTGAGCCACACCCGAACACCCCAAAGCCGCCCCGCTCTCCCCGCGCTGCGGGGCTGCCCTGCGGGTGCCTGGGCGGGGGCGGCGGGCGGGCCGCGCAGGCTGCCCCCGCCCCGCACACACACGCACACGCGCTCACACACACACACGCACACGCGCGCACACGCACACAGAAACACGCACGCACACGCGCGTAAACAGACACACGCACACGCACGCACCGGCTCCGGGAGGGGAAGGTGCGGCTGGAAAACAACGCCTGCATCTGAGCGCAGCAAGGACCAGCCCAGCCGACGAGGAGGTGCGGAACCGACCCATCCTCCTCCTCCTCCTCCTCCACCCTAAAAAAAAAAAAAAAAAAAAAAAAAAAAAAAAAAAAAAAAAAAAAAAAAAGCACATATAAAGAACAGGAAGAAGATCACATGTTATAATAATCCCCTTTGCAGCCAGACAGGACCAGAGAGGAGAACTGCCCGGTTAGGACTGAGGGATGTGCTAGAGCCTGAAGGGGAGGCAGAGACAAAACTTGGAGATAACTAACCAGCCCTCGGGAGGGAAGGAAACCCCCAGCCCTAAGCCTTGCTGTAGCAGGAGGGTGGAAGGATCCTCCAGCCCCCCCCCCCCCTTTTTTTTTCCCCTCTCGCCTGGGCGCTGGGCATTGCACCTCCACCCCAGGAGAGCAGCCCCCTGCCCGAGCCTGCCCTCCTGCCCCTCCCCGTGAACCGCAGCCCCTAAATCGCGGCCAGAAGCCGCGGTCCAGCAGCAGAGACGGCAAGGGATTTCCCAGGCACCGGCACCGGCGAGCTGGCGTTGGGTTTGTTTTTTACTCTTATCCCCCGGCGCTCGCTGTGTGAAGCAAATCCCTTGGAGGTGGGGGAGAAGTGGCTTCCGTGACAGCGGAGGGAGGAGGGAAATGAAATAAAATAAAACAAACCAAAATAAAAAGAGAGAAGAGCCAAGAAAGCACTTGCTTCTCATCATCTCTCAGGGAGAAACGCCAACTCTGTTCTTCTTATGACCCTCTGCTGCAAGGAGCAAAGGGAAAGAAGGCACTGGGGTAGACCTCCTAACAAAGCAGGGTTCACGCTGCCCGGACCCCATCGCTACCCCGGTTAGCAGCAGGCTGCGGGAGGTGTGAGGAGGGTAGGGAAGGTTGCCAGGGGGAACCCAGGCAAAGCCAAAACGAAGCTCCACCAAAAGCAAGGAGCAGAAATGAAAGTTTCGAAATAGCATCCAAACAACCGCAAAGGACCGGACCAAAGAGAGCTCTCCGCGTCGCATCAGCCCTCGATGGTGCATTCCAGGGGCTGCATCAGGGATGTGAACGTCCCCGGCCCGCTGCATGGAGAGGGGTAAAGACACAGAAAATCCTTGTTATTTATTTATTTATTGGAAGCAATGTATGGGTGACACCCAGCAGGCATCTGAGCCCTGAAAAAAAAAAAAAAACACAACACCTCTGGACCCAAACGAGAACAAGAAGAATGAGACAGCAGCCTTGACCCCTGCACTGAGAGGAAGGTGAGCAGAAAGAAAGAAAATACAGAAAAGCCATGCAAGCACCAAACCTGTAGATTACTGCAGCTCCTTTTTGATTCACTGAGGACAGATATTTTACTGACAGCCATGCAGCATAAAGGCATCATGCTGATTGTGTTCTTGGAATATTTTATTTCTGGCCATGGGGAAGCAGGTAAGCAAAATAAATCAATATTGCCATTCATGAAACAATTTATCCTAAGTTTAGCAAGGGGAAAGGGGATAGAAATCAGGTCTGTTTCTTAAAAAAAAAGTATGTCAACATCTTTATGTTAGATTGCATTTTTATAAGGAATCTGGGTTAGTCAATGTATACAAATGCTTCTTATTCCCTGCAATTCACAGCTTTATAGCTCAGCCTCCTCCCAAAGACTTATAATAGGATGTACAGTTTCATACGTCCTTAAAAGAAAAAAGTGTATTATTTTTGTGAACGAAAGAAAAGTAAGAGAGAAAGAAAGAGGTAGATGAATTGAGTTATGCTGGATATTTGTTTTGAGGGTGAAACACTGCCTTCCTAGGAAGGACAAGAGTGAAATGACAACATCCTTGGACAGCATCACTGTAGAAATTTGAATTATTCTGTTAACTTCATTTTGCATCATTAAAAGACAGAGACGCTGTTTAGGAATTACTATTTATCCAAGACAGTCCATTCATTCAGTGTATTCCCTGACTTAACAGTTAACATGCAGTGGACAAGATTAAATTAGCATTAGAGAGAAAATGTATTAGGACAGAAAGAAAAGTTGATCAGTTGTGTGTGTATATGTGGGTGTACAAATAAGCATATATAGGAATGATACAGCTGTAATGGTATTTACATGGGGTCCTAAAAATACCTGGATTATGATGGAGACAAATTCCTTAAGGGAAAGGAAGCAAAGCATTAGATTGTTTTCCTCTTGCTGTGGTTTAATACATCTCTAAGGTTAAAAGGGATGAATTATGTAGATCAGGTCAGAAAAACCAACATTGTATATCATACAACCATGCATTGATAAAACAACAATACATCCTTGGTTACTTTTCCTTTGAGATACTGGCTTGGGACCTCTCTTTCTGTACAGGGAAGTATACCAGTGGTTTAAATTTCACCTGCGTGCTCAGAGTATTAGGACAGGAACAACACTCTACATGCAGTGATTTGAAAGCGACCGAAGTGTCCAGCTACCCTGCAAGCTCCAGTAAAGTCAAAGGCAGATCAGGTGGCTTCAGCTCAGATTATTCCCCAGCTAGAACCTTTTTGATAACATAGATATCAGATTTCCATAATTGCAAGAGTTATTTTCTTAAAAACTGAAAACAGCTCATGAATTTACAATCCTGTCATATTATCCAGTGGCTCATTTGGGAGAAAGGCTGGCTATCACAACCTTACAGGGAACCAGTGGAGGGAGGACATGGTACCTTAGTCCTCTTAGTGTCTTAGGCATTCACTAGTTTCCCAGGCTAGGACTCTCCCTATAGGATACATACGCTGATAAATAGCACAGAAAGGTTACAGAGATGTCTTGTAAAGTTGCTGATACTGTTGCGGAAAGCAGCCTGTTATAAACTCACCTAAATTTGCTCTGCATCGAATTCACAAAGTGAAAAAGAATCTTCAAGGAAATGCAGCCCACAGCTGACTGCTTGGAAAGTGAATTTGAGGGGAGGGAGTGTGTTCTGGATGGAGCTAAACACACTTAGAATAATGGTGAAGGACATAGTCAATAACAGAAAAATAATTGAATAATGAAGGTGATGACGCTAAGGATTCAATGTCACTTTAAATAAATATACGTTGCTTGGTCAAAAGGTTGCACAAACCATCAGCCTGTAAAAGCACAAGGGTTACCTGTTCATATGTAATTCCTTTTTTTTTTTTTTTTTTAGAAGCAATATAAAAATCTTGAATTAACCTTGAATCTTTACAGGTCCTGTTGCAGGCAGGGTCAGTACTGCTCAGACTAATGTTAGTTCAGACAGTGTTTAGCCACTCTGTGTAAAATGATTTGGAAGTCTCAGCCTTTTCTTGAGCAGAGAGGTGTACAGGGAAGTTTTTGACATGCTTTATTAACCTACACAGTAAACTCCCTTTTCAGCCCTATAACTGGTCACTCCTGGTCAGAAGTGAAACAAATTGATTGGGCAGTTGTGTGGGGGTACATGAAGTACAATATTTGTGGGGAGTACAATATTTGTGGGGAGTACAATATTTGTGGGGAGTACAATATTTGCCTTCTGCCATCTCTGTGCAGAGAGGACAGTCTAGGTTGTCAAGATTGGCTCCTTAGATCTTTAAATATAATGCCAAGGGGGGGGAAAAACCTGTAGTGGTTAGGTTGGAGTAGTCACCTAGGTTTTATATTGCAAGATGTGACACTTGGGTGATCCTTCCCCTAGTCTTATGCAGGTGGAGGGCGTTATTCCCCTCAAATAAACTCTGCAGTGGTCTGAAAACTCCTGCATATTGGGACAGTTAATGGGACTGACAACAGCTTGGGCTCTTGCTTCAGCCCTGGCTGGCCCAGACCTCCCAGGGTAGCAGCACCCCGGGGAGCAGTGCCTGGGCCAGCTCTCCTCCCGATGGCAGCCCTCCAAAAGGGGGCGTGGTATGGTTAAAAATGGCCTTTTCCAGCACCAAGCTTAAAATCAATTGCAGGACCTGATTATCAGCAGGGTTTGGTTTCCTCTGGTCTGGGGTTATTCAGCCCATCTGCAAAGGAAGCTGTAGGTGTTGGAGCGCACCCTTGTTCCAGGAGGGATGCGGGCAGGCAGACTGCAACTGGCCACAAAGGAAGAGAGCCCAGACCTGGGATCTTACTCTTCTGTCCATGCCTCAGGTCATGGAGGCAGCTTGGTTTCGTAGCATATTCAGAACTTCACCTCTTGGGTATTTATGAAGGCTGGCTCATTAGCTCCAGTTATCAGGGCTATTTTAGTGCAGAAATACATCAGGCTACTCATAAATGGATGAAGACTTGTCAAACTTACTGCGTGTCGGCCTCATATAAACCAAAGGATTGTATAGCACTTCTGTTGTAACCAGCATTAAGGGGTAAAGTTCTAGGTCTGATTAATAAAAAACTTGAGCAACTCATGTCCCCAGGGTGGTTAGTTTTAAAAGAACATTTAAAAGTTTTTGGTTGTTAAGGAAAAAGTTAAACAGATCTAGAACAAGTGAAATCCAGGTTGAACATACACGCTGAAGCTGCTCCATCAAAAACATAGCAGAAGGTGCCCAAAGGTTTTAGTGTTTACATGTTGCTCAGAACTGTGAAATTTGCTCTCCTGTCTCACTGTAGGACACTTGAACACACAAAATCATAAATTTGCATATGGAAAAGAAATAAAAATTCCAATTCAAATCACTCAGAAAATATTAGGCATCTTTCCAGTCACATTAGCAGGCTTTGACTGAATTGCCATATGACCTTTCTTCTGTCGGGTGCCCAATGGAGGGTGAAAAAAAAAGAAAAAAAATTGAACCTGTTTTTAGTTAATGTCTACAATGTTCTGTTGCATTACAAGGCTCTGAAGTAAGAGATCTCTGTTTGAAATGGTGTCCCAGGAATATCAATAGTATGACTTCCCTTGAACTGTATGATTCCCTAATCATCAGATAACACCATTGTTATAACATGTGCCGGGCATGTGCCATTGACCTGCCACTTTGTGACACAGCTCTGAGGGACCAGAAAACAAACAAATAAATTAATCATACCGTTTATGGAGCCAAGCCATCCTCCATGGAGTAAAAGCTAATCAACTTCATAATAACATGCAGTGCCCATGCGCAATCAAACTGTTTAGTTCTTTATGAATTATTCAATGAGTCCTCCTGGCAGTTGGGGTAAGCTGTTTGTTCGCTTGGCTGCTGTTTCCCTTCTGCAGCGGTCCCCCCTTGCTGTCCAGATTCAACATTTCATGTTGTTTCCACAGAATCAGTGAGTGATGGATAGGCTGTGCTATCCTTGTGGCCAAGCAATGTTCTGCCAGTTGATTTCTTTAAATGCAAAGCTTTTAATCGACTGCAGATTTTGTTTTCCAATCTCTCTCCTTCTCTCAAACTCCCTTCTGCTAATTTGCACTTTGTTCTTCTCCCATTTTCCTAATGATACAGCAGTTCAGACAGGAACTATTTATTGATGTTGCTGCATTAGCAGGCAGAGCAGATAAACCTTCTTGTGACTGTTGTTCAGGAGGACAACCATGTTTTTCTTCCTTTTCCAGGTTCAGATAAAAACAGCTGAAAAACTCAATACAAGACTAATAGCCCATTTATGGAAAATATAAAAAGCAGCCATTCCCTTTAAAAAATATTTCCTTTTTTACTTTCTCACATTCTCGTCTGCAAAGCTTCCCCTATATAACTCCTTAAATTTAGAACTCCAGCATCCCATTTCCTCTATGAAAGCTTCAGTGGTGTGATCCATCAATAGAGATGGACTTTCTTTTAATTACATGGTATATTTATCCATAATCCAATAGCATTTGTGACATGGACCCATTCTTAACCAAAACTAAGTAACCTGACTCTTAGTCAGAGCTAATGCTTGTTCAAAGCTCAGTTGTAAGACCAGTTCCACTTAAATTCTCTGGAGGCAAAGATGACACCTTTCTGCAGCACTGAGCAAAATCAGTTAATATCCAATTTACTTTAAACAGAAATTGCTGTGCTTTCCGTATTTCCAGTAATTTTTACCAAACAGCTTGGACATGAACATGGACCTAAATGCCACTTCCAAAGACATTCTTGAGGCATGCAGTTGTAGCTCATTGTATTTTTGCTGACCTGCAAGGATAGATTTATCTTTATTTCAAGAATTCTGCATGACTTAGTGAAATTCACCCTCCAGAGCAGACAACAATTTGGAATTTCAGATGCTCTGCAAAAAGGAGGAAGCTCTAAACAACTTTTGTGGAAACCTGAGTCCTTTCTCAGAACAAAAAGACAAAGAAATTGCAAGGAACCTCCCAGTTAAAATCTCTGAAGCTCCTGGTGTTCCCCTGTAGCTGTATTAGGCTCAGGTGGAATAAGAAGTTCATAATCAGAAAGAAAATACATTGAAATGGTCACCAAGCAGTCAGGATGCTGTGAGGGCTTGATGGAGGATCTCCAGTAGTGCGAAGAATCACCTGCTTGGGAGCAAAGAACAGAACTGATAGAGCCAAACATCCCTATCTTCTCTCCTTTCCGCTCCAGCTGACTTCTCCTCTCTCATGAAAATTCACCTCTGTGCTGGCACAGGGAGTGGTGATGGGACTGAGGAGGGGCAGCTTTCACTCCTTCGATCTGAGGACTATTAGGTGCACATGTAATTCAGGCACTGCTGCCCTCTAAGGTCTGCCAGTCTCCTAGGACTTCACTGGGATAGTAAAAAAGAATCTCGACCAGCCCATTCCAGCCACTGGTGGAAGACAGCCTCCACCAGGAGGAAACCTACTGTGTCCCCAGACACCCCCTCTTTCCTTGAGGCTGCTGCTTACAATGTCTGTAATGCAAACACACATTAAGTCCAAGTTCCTTTGAAGGTGGCTTCCACCTGTTTCTTAGAATAGTCAAGAGCATTTTTGGATTGTTTGCTTCCTTGCTATGTGAAGTCTAAGACTACCTTATGCTCTACGTAAGCTAAAATGGCGCATGCCATTGGTCAATGGGATTCAGTGGACATGCAGCAACTTTGTTTTGTGTCCTGATCCTGGGAAGCAAAATGCATGAGGTGTTTTCCAAAACAATGTCTATCTCTGACCTTTCTTTCTGGCCTGTGCAGAAATGTCACTAAGGAACTAAGGACAGAAGCAACTCAGAGGCAAAACTGTGCATGCTGGACACATTTTTTCACCTTAAACATTCCTTTTGGAAAGAAGGACATCAGTTTCGTCCAACTACATTTACAATTTGAGTATTTTTATAAGACTGAATTAGAGAGTTTTCTTTGACCTAACTTGATTTTAAAACTAATTTTGCCTGAGGAAAGGCTGAATATAAACCGAGTAGAGATTTTAAAATTTGACCTAGAATGTTGAACAAACAGCTGACCTTTGAACTGCTCCTAGATTACCCAGGGTTTACGGTCATCCTATGTTTCATTGGAAGGGTCATTTCCTGTAGGACTTACATCCAGTCATCTGACTTGTGACCTCTTGGATTAGATTTATGACCTTGCAAGGTCAGTCTTTAACTCCTTCTAGACTGTTAAGTTGCAAAGAGAACACTGTATGTCATTAGAAAAGCAGTTTTCTCCAGTACGGTAATAAGGTTTTGGAATGACCTTTAATTCCAGTGTCACAAGACACTACTGATTTCCAAACAATATTGAGACTTCGTAGTTATCCCTACCTTTTCTTAATTCAGAAATAAGTAGATGTATACATTGAAGATACCAAAAATTTGCCAGTATTTGCAAACTTGGCAAACAGAATATAGTCACCTACCTCCATGTCAAGGTATTTAAACAAAAGAGAGACTTAATTTTCAGCTCTGCTAAGTGTTAACAACTCCAGCTGATCTCAATAGGAGCAGTAGAAACTCAACACCCCTCAAAATTATGCCAGTAATGCATAACTATAGAAATAGATGCTTTCTTTTTGTGTTTGTATGTGTAATTAGTGTCTGTAATTTGTTGGGCAGGAATCATCTCTTTTCTTAATGTATCTACAGTGTATAGTACAGTTTGACTTTGCTTTCTGATAACAATGAAAATAAATGCATTGAATAGATTCAGTCCTCAGATACAGAGCTTTACTAGAGTGAAAGTAAGAAAACACAGGATTTCTGTGGTTAAACATAAAATTCAATAGACCGACACAACTGCATTTTCAACAGAAATCAAAGTTAAGCGCCATAAGCATGAGTTTTCTAAAGACCTCAGTTTCTGAGTTAGGCACCAAAAAACAAGGACTAGATTTATTGAGAAACTCCCTCCAAACTTCGTGTGAAAAGATGAAGTAGCTCTCCTTAGAAGGAGTCTTCTTGTATGTCAATCCCCAGATGAGGACTCCAAACATTTGCATGGTCACCTGTGTTACAGCCTGAGAACTATTTGAGAAATCCTACTCAGTTGTGTTTCTTTTGCCTGTCTTTCAGATCCCATGAGGCTACGAGCCTTCCGCTGTAATGGCCGTTCTTGCAACCCTCCAGTGGGAAACCTTGCAACAGGGAGGACACCAGTCACTCTCACCACGTGTGGCCAGAACAGTACAGAGCTGTACTGCTTCTACCCAGACCAGAATCTCCTCCATCAGGTCTCCTATGGCTGTGGGCAGCCTCGCTGCACCAAATGCAATGCCAACCAGCCTGATAACTCCCATCTCCCTTCTGACATGACAGATGATTTCTTTGCAAACCCCATCTCCTGGTGGCAGTCTGCCCAAGGGGTACACAGGGAAGAAATCAGACTGGACTTTGAAACAGAATTCTACCTGACACATGTCATTGCTGTGTTCAAGTCACCTCGCCCAGCTGCGATGGTGTTGGAAAGATCCCAGGACTATGGGCAGACTTGGAGGCCCTACAAGTATTTCTCTGTCAACTGCACAGCGACTTTTGGGCTCCAGGATGATCTCACTGAGGAGGGCTCCATGTGCACTTCCAGGTATTCAGATGCAGTGCCCTGCACCAGAGGAGAGGTAAGCAATAGCTGAGGTTTGGACTAAGTTTAATGTCAAACAGCTGAAGACTAGCTGAAAATTGGAGAGTATGTGCTCAAAGAGATACTGTGCATATTAATTAAGAAAGGTAGCCCATCCCCAAAGGCTTTGTGTTAAGAAAATAAAGGGGAAGAAGAAGAGAAATTATATATCAATAAAAATGAATGGAAATGCTTTAACAAATTTCTTTTATGAGAGTTGCACAGGATAGGATTAACGTTGCCTAATTTTACATTGCAGATGCTAATAACTGAACTAGAATTCCAACAAAGTAGACATAGGGAAATACACATTTGTAGAGTCTGATTTATCCAAACTTTTCCTACTTTGGGATGACATGAACTGCATGGTTTCTTTTTCTTCTCCATATAAAAAAAGTCCTAGATGGTTGGGTGACTTCTAAATACATCCTTCCCCTAAGTTTAATGTAACTTTTCTTGCTGGGGGTGACTGCTCTGATTGTATCAAGCCATAGGCTCCAGAAATGAAACCGTTTAGAAACAGGGAGTGGAAGTGAGCAGCCAGGTTTCACTATTCAACAGTGGGAAAAGGCCCTCCCTTGGTATGAATATTCTGATGTGCTATTAAACATATGCAGAAGGCTTTCTTTCAAGATAAATGTACAATTGCTCTGATAAATTCCTCTGATAAGAACATTAACAACTGCTTAGTAATCAGATACTTAGTTTAGTTATAATCCTTTTCATTCATCAATCTTGAAACAGTTTAGATGGGAAAGATGGTAAATATCATTGGTATCATTTTATAGAGGAGACATAAAGGCACAAAGGGAGACTATAAGACATTCCTATAGTCACAACAGAGGCTGGAGTCCTTTCACTTCCTTCAAGAAGTCACAATCCTCTTGTTTTTCCTGTCTGGAAGTGATCATGCAGGTTTGGCAGTAATGCTTTGCTGCAAATTAAGCTCAGGTGTGAGGTGAATGGTCCAGATAGGCTTCAAAAAACACAGTGGTTTCAGCAGTGCACTTCAAAATGCACTTGAGAAGAAAGAAACTAGTGTACTATACCTGAGACAGAGAAACAGCAGTGAGGAGACACTGAGTTCATCTTTGCGCAACAGGCTGGGAAACATCTCTGCATATTAGAAATCTGGAGCAGATCATCTGACTACTAAACTGTCTCATTCCTGGAGTAGTAATTCTGCTGGTCAGTTATCATGATACATTTAAGTCAAATACATCCAAATGTCTTCTGTAGAGAGATTACAACTTGCCACGTCAATACAGAATCTAGGCAACTAATATGATTTTCCACTCTTGTGTGCCTTCCAATCAAAAATCTGGAAGTACTTTGCAAGATCCATTTAATGATCTTCAGCACACATGTAAGGGTCCTGTTGCCATTTCACAGATGGGGAAAGAGCAGCACAGAAAGGTGAAGTGTTTCATGGTAAAACAGGACAATTCTGACTGAGTAAGGAACAGAATACAGGGTCTGAGGCAAATGCCTTGGCCTTAAATGCAAAACAACTCTTCCTTCTCTAGCACAGTATCCCCTGTTGCCCTGCACTGTGTTGGCTTTTGTGCTTACTTAACCTTGGGGAATATCATTAAGACCATGTGTTGCTGCTACAACAAATCTGAGAAGTGGATGGCAGGAAATCAAATAATAAAACATTCATCCAACACAAGCCTTTGTGATTACAAGTGTCAAAATGATTCTGTCAACTTGGGCAGCAACTACATTGAAAAGAATATGTGTATGCTTAATCAATCTACGCTGTGGTAGTAGATGTTAGAAAACAATAGTAATTGTAAGAACAGTCATATATAGTCATGCAAGGTCATACCCTTGCAGATCCCAAATACTTTCATGAACTGTTACATGAATTGAATACATACAGAGGTCACTTCCTCCACGGGACGGAGAACTGAAGCTTTAAAGCAGCGCACAGGAATCTGTATGGCAACTTAACAGAGAACAAGACAAATACTGTTTCACAGCACATTAACCCAAAAGGATTCTGAAGTTCTGGACAGACTTTATAGAGACCTCTTAATCAATCCATGAAATGCCACTATGGCAAGGGTGCAAAAGCATCAGGCTTTTCAGGTCAGCAATATGACACAGCAGATTCTTTTGTCAGTGAAAATAAAGGAAGGCAGAGTGTAGTTATTTAAAGTGATACCTGATCAGATTTGCCTGAGTGACACTGCTACTCTTACAAGTCTCACAGCAGCTTTGCCCATGCATCTCAGAACTGCAATTTTAAACCTTATTTTAAACATGTCACAAATGTCACCAGGGCATCCCCTCAAGCACTGACTCACAACTGACTTGAAGGAAGCTGACTGAATCCTCACCACTACTTTCTGCAGCGTTCTCTGCTTTTTCACCTCCACTCCGACCTATCCAATTACTGATTCTGGCTAAGCCTTGGATTGCTGAGGAGCTCAAATCACAAGCTGACAACATTTCTGAAATGATCAAAACCGTTCCAACTTAAATGCTAATTACTGCTCTGAGATAAATGCCAGTTTTCTCTGCTGAGGGGGTTGAAGTAATTTCCACTGCATGACACTCAGGTTTTTCTTGGGTGTTGTCCTATTCACTTGGAGAAGAGACACAAATTCCTTTTTAACAGGGCACAAAAGGGATCAAAAAAAGAGATGGCTTACTAGAACACTTAGGTTTAAAACCCATGTGGGACACATCATGAAACAAGATTTCAGGTCAACTGGCTTGAAACTGGCTTCCAGAACTGAGAATGTAGGTGTGAAAGGAGAAGGTGGTAGAGCTGCAGTAACTTACATGCGTCTATAAACTGAGATGCATCTCCCCGAGTCAGCACACTCTGATGGTCCTCCAAGACCACTGAAAGAAACTTTTCCTGGGAGCATGATGGGAAACTTGGCAGAAGAGAAACTTTTAGGAGACTAGAATGGAAGCAAAAGACATTTGGGTGAGTGATGTGACAATGTCACAACAGAACATAATGTATCACTTAAGTTAAGGTGTATCCCTTGTCTCTTGTAGATTGTCCCTTATCTTTCACCTCTGACAGGGTCACGCATCTCCATTCCATCTCAGATAAGGTACAGCTGAGACAGAAGGTGTCATGCACTGGGGAACAAGTCCTGTAGAAATGCAAGGAGATGACTTCCTAATGTCTCTTTTGCAGTTCTCTTTTACTCCAGCATTTACTAAATCCCTTACTCCTGTTCAGATACAGAGTACTTCTGCAGCTAGAATCTATCTATCTGAGATCCTGGCAATAAACTTGCTTTATTGATGATTTCTGGTCTAGGAGGCAGAGCAATTTATTCACTGCCAATTGCCAACATAATCATTTACTTCAAATGAAGCACCACAAAATCAACACCTAACTTTCTATGCTTATAAACACTTCTTAGTGAAAATCCTCCACTAGCATGTCTTAAGTCCTGACTGGCCTGTTAAGTACCCTATGTTTTGCCTGTTGACTTCTATCACTATAAGGAATTATATATTAAATGGGAAACAAGTGCTTCTAATCTTTATCCTATTCTTAAGCGAGAACATTCTTAACTATTCTTAAGTGAGAATAGTTACTGCTATGCTCATCAGCTTCAGTACGCAAATCTCCAACATAACATCATGAACTAAAACATCATGAACCCACCTTTTTAAGGTCTGTTCATCTACCGTAAGTGCATCTACAGGCAATGCTTGCACAGAGTCTTATGCATCAACTGAGACCTTTTCTACCTACTTGTCCATCCATTTGTTTTTCTAATTTAAAACCACTGTACTATATAGTCATGGAGCCTAAAAGCCTAACTCTGGCCCAAATAAAAGGAGAAATTACCACAATGTTGCATCAGATATTAGTGTGACTTACAGTTGAAACATCATATGGGGGAAACAGGGACCAAAATGTTTCAACCTGCATCCTGACAGCACATGCAGTCAAGGATCTGAGAGATTAAGAGCACATTTTTAATAAACTGGAATATCGGGAAATGAAAACAAATGTTCTCCTCCATCGAAGATGATGTTTGCATGAAAGGAAGACATTAGCATGCAAAGCGGGGTAGAACACTGACCTGCTTATAACCACCAGACCCAAAAGGAGATCCTTCCCCTATTCGGTCTAGCTAGTGGAAGGGAGTTTTGAATCAAAGGCTGGTTCATTTATGTGAGTGTCTGTGTGACAGATGACACCAATGAAGTGTGATATAATAAACCCATTACTGGAATTCACTGGGGGCTGGAAGAATTGTGTATGCCTGAATTAAGTAACTGGTTTCTATGGCAACATGATAAGTGTGCCTTGCGCAGAAGACCTGTTCATTCTCCGTTTTGTATCCTGTGGTGACCTCTTTAGGGACAGAAGTCCCCAGCAGTGCTTTTTGTCAAAGATGAGTGAACGCGCTTTGTAGCTAAAAGACTTTTAATCACTCTTCTAAATACACTCTGTGAATGCCAGATCAAGACATGTTGTGATGGGATGCAGTTCTGCCTGCTCCAAAAGCCACCAGGTTGTTCAGACAGAAGCCACAGTCAACCCTATGGAAGGCCTTTTCCTCTGCACTGACACTGAAGACCTCTGCTGCCTTTCTCCATCTACAGGGACTCCCTGAGCAACAGTTATGGCAGAGGGGACCACTTGCACACAGACACCAAACCAGGCCAGGGACAGGGCTCTGTGTGGAATGTATGTTATTCTGTTCCAAGGACCTACATTTTTTACTGTCTTTTTTCAGGCTTTTCTTTCACTGTATTCATGCCAAACCTTTTGATAAACAAAGGAGAATCCCCCGCACACACACACATACCTCATTAAGTGGCAACATCAATAATTCAGGAGGTCACCACTGAGGCTTCAGTGGCTTCTTAAAGGTCTGATCTCATATGGCAGTGGGGTCACTGAAAAGAAACATGCTCAGCACATCACAAGGTTGAATTCCTAGTAGCTAAGATGCAAGGGCAGGGTCTTGCACTGCAGTGAATTGTCCAACAGTCATCAGGACTGGC